TTCAGGAGAATAGCTCTATAAAAAAGCTTGAAGACAGGGATGGTGATGCCGCCGGATGTTGCCTTGTTGAACAGTTTTGTTTTTGCTGTCCTGGGGGTCGTTTGTTTTTCCATACTAAATTGATCATTATTCATTCAAGGTCTGTGAAGAATTGTTCTGTTATTTTAATGGGGATTGCATTGAATCTGTAGATTACTTTTGGCAGGATTGCCATTTTTACTACATTGATCCTACCTATCCAAGAGCATGGGATATCTTTCCATTTTCTGAGGGCTTCTTTAATTTCTTTCTTTAAAGACTCAAAGTTCTTGTGATACAGGTCTTTCACTTGTTTGGTTAGTGTTACCCCAAGGTAATTTATGTTGTTTGTGGCAATTGTCAAGGGTGATGTTTCTCTGATTTCTTTCTCAACCCTTTTATCATCTGTATATACTAGGGCTACTGATTTTCTTTAGGTGATCTTGTAGCCTGCCACACATCATCTGCAAATAGTGAACGTTTGACCACTTCCTTTCCAATTTGTATCCCCTTGATCTCCCTTTGTTGTCATGTGGCTCTGGCTAGAACTTCAAGTACAATATTGAAAAGGTATGGAGAGAGTGGACAGCCCTGTCTTGTTCCTGATTTTAGCAGAATTGCATTGAGTTTCTGTCTATATAGTTTGATGTTGGGTGTTGGTTTGCTGTATATAGCTTTTACTATGCTTTGGTATGTTCCTGTTATCCCAGATCTCTCCAAGTCCTTTATCATGAAGGGGTGTTGGATTTTTTCAAAGGCTTTTTCTGCATCTAGTGAGATGATCATGTGAAAATATTTTCCCAACATTTAACTCTCAGGTAATATCTGTATTTGAGGGTGAGGTATGTTTCTTGTATGCAGCAGTAGGATGGGTTCTGTCTTCAAATCCATTCTGTTAGCCCGTGTCTTTAAATGGGGTGAGTTAAGGCCATTAATATTGAGGATTATTAGTGACCATTGATTGCTCATTCTTCTTTGACTTGGAATCATTGGTGGTGGTGGAATTATGTGTGAAATTCCATCTCTTTGTTCTTTTGGCTGTTGGAAAGTGGGATTATCTAGTGCTTATATTTTTCTGGTTGTAGTTAAATTCCTTGTGTTGGAGTTTTCCTTCCAGAACTTTCTTTAGGGCTGGGTTAATGGATACATATTACTTGAATCTAGTTTTGTCATGGAATATCTTATTTTCTCCATCTATAGTGATTGAGAGCTTTGTTGGGTATAGTAGTCTGGCCTGGCATCCATGGTCTCTTAGTGTTGGTAGAATACCTATCCAGGACCTTCTGGCTTTCAGAGTTATCATGGAGAAGCCAGGTGTAATTCTGATAGGTTTGACTTTATATGTTGCTTGGCCTTTTTTTTTAGCTGATCTTAATATTCTTTCTTTATTCTGTATATTTGGGGTCTTGATTATTATATGGTGAGGGGACTTTTTTGTGATACACTCTATTTGCTGTTCTGTAAGCTCCTTGTACCTTCATTGGCATGTCTTTCGTTTGGTTGGGAAAGTTTTCTTCTATCATTTTGTTGAATATGTTTTCTGCCCTTTTGAGGTGGTTTTCTTCACCTTCTTCTATACCTATTATTTTTAAGTTTGGTCTTTTCATGGTGTCCCATATTTCCTGGATGCTTTGTGTTAAGGGTTTGTTGGACTTAAGATTTTCTTTGGTTGATGAATCCATTTCTCCTAGTGTATCTTCAACACCTGAGATTCTCTCTTCCATCTCCTGTATTCTGTTGGTAATGCTTGTATCGGTAGTACCTGACTGTTTGCCCAGCTTTCTATTTCCAGGCTTTCTTCAGATTGTGTTTTTTATTGTGTCTATTTAAGTTTTCAATCTTTGCACTGTTTGAATTGTTTCTTGCAATTTTTGTTTTATCTTTTCGTCCACTTGTTGCATTTTATGAATTTTTTGGTTTGTTCTTTCTTCCATTTCTTACATTTTATGATTTGCTTTTTCTTCCATTTCTTGAATTTTTTGGTTTGCTTTTCTTCCATTTCTTGTATTTTTTGGTTTGTTTTTTCTTCCACTTCTTGCATTTTTTATTTGTTTTTTCTTCCATTTCTTGCATTTTTGATTTGTTTTTTGGTCCATTTCTTTAAAGGTTTTCCTATATCCTCTTTTAGGGCCTCTATCATTTTCATGAAGTTGTTTTTAAGGTCATTTTCTTCTGCTTCATTGGCATTGGAATGTTGGAGTCTTGCTGTTGTGGAGTCTCTAGAATCTGGCAGTGTCATATTTGTTTTTCTGTTGCTGAGTGTGTTTTTGTATTGTCTCTTTCCCATCTCTTCTTCTGGTGGGTGCAGAAAGAGTCCCTTACTGGTCTTGTTGTTAGGGGACCAACGTTCCCTATTGGTGGGTGCTAGCAAGTCCAATTCTCTGGTAGTTCTTCTATTCCTCTTCCTAGTTCTGGTCCCATTGGTGGAGTAGAAGACCAGGAATCTGGGGTGCTTAGCCCCCGAACTGGTCCCCTGGTCCATTTGGTGGAAGAGAGGACCTGGAATCTGGGGTTGTTGGCTCCTGCCAGGATGGTAAGCTCTGTACAATTCCCAGGCAATCCCCAAGCAGGATTTTATTTCTTAATTCAATGATATCTTTAATTAAATTTGAACTATTTTAACCTTTTGTTCTGTCTTTAATCATGCCTGTCATTTCTGCTCAAGTTCACCTTTCCTTGTGTGTGTATGTGTGTGTAGAAAATAAATCACTTTTCTTTTGCTACCCCTATAAATGCTCCTTACCTAAGAAGTTCATGTACTGAAAAAATAATCTGATCATATTCTTGATTACTAAGGACTTTTTCTGTTTTTTAAACAAATTTTTCTTTCAGCTAAAAACAATCTTGTTTTATATACCAATTGCAGATCCCTCTCCCATCCTTGCTCCCATTACCCCACATCACCCCATCCAACACACCATCTAATCCCTAGGGAATCTGACATATCATTTGGGGCAGAGCCTAGGCCCTTCCCCATGTATCTGGGCTGACAGAGTGTCCCTCCATAGAGAATGGGCTCCCAAAGCCCATTAATGCACTATTGATAAATAATGGTTCTACTGCCAAAGGCCCTATAGCCTGTCCAGTCCACCAAACCAACACCCACATTCAGACGCCCTGTTTCTGTCCTATGTTGGTTTCCCCAGCTGTCAGACTGGGATCCATGAGCTCCCACTTACTCAGGTCAGCTGTTTCTGTGGCTTTTCCCAGCATGGTCTAGACCCCTTTGCTCATCACTCCTGACTCTCTACAACAAATTTCAGGAGTTCAGATGATTGCTTAGCTGCCAATATCTGTTTCTGCTTCCATAAGCTACTAGGTGAAGGCTCTAGGATGGAATTTAAGGGCGTCATCAATCTCATTATAGGGGAAGAGCATTTAAGGTAGCTTCTCCACTATTGCTTAGATTCTTAGTTGGGGGTCATCCTTGTGGGTCCCTAGACATTTCCCTAGTGCCAGATTTCTCTTTAAGCCTATAATGACTCCCTCTACTACGGTATCTCCTTTCTTGCTCTGCTTCTCTATTCTTCTCTCAACTCAATCTTCCTTATCCATCATGTTCTCACCCACCCGTTCTCCACTCTTCTTTCAGCTAACTTCCTCGCCCCTCCTTGTGCTCCCAAACTGCTCGGGAGGACTTGTTGCTTTCCCTTTTTCTGGGGAACCCTGTATGTCTCTCTTAGAATCCTCTTTATTTCCTAGCTTCTCTGAGGTTGTGGATTGTAGGCTGGTTATCCTTTTCTCTATGTCTAATATCCACTTATGAGTGATTAAATACCATGTTTGTTTTTCTGTTCACCTAATACACTTTGTAGATTTTAAATGAATATATTCATCATTTACTTCTTTTAAAAATAAACATTATTGTTGCTAATACTGTATGTAGTGTGTGCCTTATGAAGACTTTGCATAGTAGTGTAGCCTGGGCTTTGAAAATGTCTCCCTACCGTCTTCCTTCTGGTCACCTCATCCACAGTTTTCTTATTGCATCCTCCCCAGGCTCCTTCATAATAATTAAAAACTCAGTTTATTTTTCTTTAATATATATAAATGTGTGTACACACATGTGTGCACCATTTGTGTACTTGGTGCCACAGAAGTCAGAAAATTGTGTCATATTTCCATTGTTCTGGAGTTACAGAAATTTATGGACCACCAGGAGGGACTCAGGACTAAGCATTTGGTCCTCTCAAACAGCAGCAAGAACTTTGAATGCAGAGCTATTTTTTATCACTGACCTTATTATACTTTCTGTCTACTTTTCAAATATTGTGTTTACTTCCTACGAAATAAAATGGATTGTTTTAGACAATGAAATGAGAAGAGAGAAGTCTCTTTCACTTCCCCAATGTTGTTTCTCCCTCTTGGAATTAACTGTAAAATAAAAGTTTTCATTTTATTGAGTAATGCAAACAAACCTACATGGAAGTGACTTTTCCTGAGCTCACACATTACTCTCATGTATCTATTAGGAGTTCTTCCCATGTTTTTGCGTCTAATATGAGAAGTCACCTGCAGTGTTGCCGTTTCCTCCTTCCCTGTATCAGTGCTTGCTTTGGTTTCTCATTGTGGCTGCAGATCTCCCAGGTGTACACTCTCCTGTTTAAATCTCAGTGTTATATGGTAATTAGGCATTCCATTAAGAAATAATTCTGTTCCAAATGCTAAAAATTAGAGGTTTATAAAATCTTTTTTTCTTTTTAAATACCAGCTAATTGAATGCGTATTTCTTTTAAATACCAGCTAATATCAGTGTAACAGATATATATGATCTGTTCTTATTTAACTGGTGAGAGTGAGGCCATCTCAAAGTTAAGGTTAAAGAGATATGCTCATTCTACATAAAATAAATGCTTAGCTGTTAGGAAAATTGTAAATAATATATGGTTTAAAACTTCTAAAGAATGTTTACCAGTAAACAAAAGCAAGATGCCATTTTTGTATATTTAATGATATTTCTTCAATTGTTTCTAATTCTTCAGGCTCACCCTGTGATCCCACGTTCATCTTGGGCTGTGCTCCCTGCAATGTGATCTGCTCCATTATTTTCCAGAATCGTTTTGATTATAAAGATCAGGATTTTCTTAACTTCATGGAAAAACTAAACGAAAATGCCAGGATCCTGAGCTCGCCCTGGTTTCAGGTGAAGTAAAGATCTTTTCCTTCTGGGAACACCTTTGTAATCTTTCATTCTCACAGGTCAAATTCAATATGCACCAAGAAGTGAGGTGACCAGACACCATGGTTCTGAACAACATATTATGAAAAGAATATGTAGAAGGCAGATCTAAGTCCATTTGCTATACAAATAGCAAAGCTGAAGGGCAAACTCCGGGTTGGCTCAAGCCTGCTAGGTCTCTATCTATTTCCAACAGATGTTCACTGAACTGTTTGTTTATTAGATTGCATTCAAATCCAGAGATGCTGCCAACTGTTCACAGGACATTATTCTATGAATATTTCTAATCCTCTTTTCTATTATTAAACATATATATCCTGAACATATTGCTAGGCAGGAATATTTTAGTTTAGAAAGAATATTCTCTTAAAGGGTAAAGAATATTAATGGCAATGAAATCTGCCAGGAAACGCTAAGTAGTTTTAGTGCTTTGATGTGTCAGCTGGAATCATAGTTGACAAACAGGTAGAAGATGAGTGATTTAATGCTGTGTGACCCACACCCATCTTCTCAGAGTTGTCCTAGGCACACGTGGCACCTCCTGTACTCTCCATAAAGAATGGCTGTGATCCAGGAACTCAGGGCAACAAGGCACCATGCATTCAGACATGACTATGTTAAGCAAATGCATGGTGTGGTATGGGAAAGACAGAGTTAAAATGGTTCATGTCCTGTGGAGACAGACACAACTCAAGAGATGAAGCGGTGCAGAAAGGGCTGAGGTAGATGTCTTAATTGCCACCAGGGAGGGCCACTGTGATGTCTGGGTCTTGGCTGCATCCAGGACCGATGTCTGGGTTCATGGTCCTGTATCAGCCAGGGTCTGTGTTGATGTCCATAGCTCCTGATAGCACTGAAGGCAAAGATGGAAGGACTGCACAGAGTTAGTCTTGACACTCACTGGCTGCATCACTAGGGGGAACAGGCTCTGTATTTCTTCTGAGAAGCACACTGGAACTAATCCTGTTGACAGGGGTGTGGAGCAGGCCCAAAGAATGTGCACCTGGGAGATCTGTACCAGATAAAGAGGATATTCAATGCTATTAGGAAAACAATATATTTATTTGCCAGAGAGAGAGTTACACAAGCTAGGAGTTAGAAGCGTGGCTGGCTTCCAAGAGAAAAAGGGAGGGTCCTTTTCCTTTCACTTCCTTTTATATCTACCTGTGTCAGTTTACATGTCCCTGCCCTCATGGGCAGATAGCTTTGTGGGGTTCACTCCTACATCTGCCATATGGTTTCTTGAGTGTGGGAGAGCTGACCTCCCTCCCCCCCCCCGCTGCTTGTGGAAGTTGGGACAGTTAGCCCTGAGGTCATAAGAGCAGGAGAGCTGCTCTTGCAGACACCACTGAAGAATGCAGGGAGCAGACCATGCACCTTGTCTGGGCAGCACAGCAGAGCTGACAGTGTCCACAGGGTCAGGTGACTCAGCCATGAGGTTGTGAGTGTGGGAGAGCTGGTCTCACTGCTTGCCTGTCATGGATGGTGTGGTTGGGGAGAGATGCTCCCTTTACCCTCAGCCCCTCACCACCTGAGGCAGATGAGGGAGCTGACCCTTCCCCTTACCAGTCCTAGCCTGGGCAGCAAAGTATAGCTGACCCTGTTGGCAGAGGCACAGGTGAGCTGGCTCAGAGCGTGTGAGAATGGAAATGCTGACCACACCTCTTCATCTGCCATGTGGTGGCAAGGGTGAGGCCAACATGTCCTTCTCACCTCTCTTCTGCCACCTGTGGTGTGTGAGGTTCCTGACCTTCCTCCTTAACAGCTTCAGCACCTGGGAAAGTGGGCCCTGCCCCTCCCCTGGGCAGTACAGCAGAGCTGACCCTATTGACCCCATTGATTGGGGTCGGGACTGAGTGAACCAGCCTAGAGAATGTGAACATGGCAGATCTGGTCCCTCCCTTCATCTGTTTTCTGGTGGTATCGATTGCAGAGAGAGTACCTTCCCTTCCTTGCAACCTGTGCCATGTGGGAGGGCTGGCCCTGAGGTCATCAGAGTGGAAGAGTGGCCCCTGCACCATGCCTGAGTAACACAGTCTATCTGACCCTGATATTGTATGTGTGGAAGAGCCAATTCTGGGGGTATGAAAGAAGCCCATTGCTATAAAGTGTGAACTAGCCAGGAGAACACCATAGAGCTTACCCTGGTCATGAGGTCAGAGGAAGAGTTGAAGGGATGTCCAACACAGAAACTACCTAGACCCAGAACTAGGGCCAATTTTAGATGCACCTCAATACCCACCCCATCTGTGATCTGCTGGAGCACATGGAGGGGCTGGTCCTACAGGCCCAGGCTACAAGATCTTCACAGTGCTGGGCAACAACAAGATTTCCAAGTAAATTCCCAGTAAGGGCCTGGTTTTTATAATGTAATAAAAACCAAGAGGCCTCAAGCCAGACCAGTGACTCCTTGCAGTGAACACATGCAAGCAAAGATATAAGGGTAAAGGGGTTTACTGTGTGACTCTCTGTGTCACACTGCAACTTCCATGAGACTTTTATCTCTTAAATTCATTTTATTTTATTTGGGGGGGTTGTAAGGGCTGTGGGTGGATGTGAAGGGATCCATGAGGTAAATGGGATCGAGATGCACAGTGTGACAGACACAAAAAATAAATACAAACCAGTTTAAAAAAGAATGGCTGTGATCATAGAGAATTTTCTAAGGGCTGTGCTGCACTTTTCTTTCAAAGGCTCTTGGAGCCTCACCCGCTTCCTTTCATGCCATGGGCCAGGTTTCAGGAGTTCAAATGCATGTGATTTTTTTATGCAAATCACGGTGTCTGTCTCTCTTCACTGCTGCTGTCTCCTAAGACCTGTAAATGACAATGATTTACATCATATTTATTTCAGACTTGAGGGAATAAGTGGAAAAAGCTGTCAGTCAATTCTCATAAATATCTTTTATACTGAAAAGGATCTGTGAATGTGGAAACTTAATTATGATCTTTGATCATTTGGTCATATCTCTACTATCAGGAGAACTGTTACACACTTGAAAACAAAAACCTACTTCTTCTGTGAGACACTATATCTTATTCACATCAGATTCTATAAACCTGAGTAGATTTTGCTGTATATTATGGATATGTGTATTTCCTCATATCTGCTCCTTTAAAAAGTTTTTTTTTCAGCAAGGACTGGAGAGATGGATCAGTGCTTAAGAGTGTGTGTTAATCTTCCTATTCTTCCAAAGGACCTGAGTCCAATTTTTAGCATCCATGTTAGGTGGCTCAAAACCACTAGCTCCCGGGGATCTGATATCTTTGGCCTCCAAGACACCCACACATACATGGTACACACATGTATGCATGCATATACATGCCATGTACGCCACTAAAAGTAAAACAGTACATCTTGTCAAAAATGTTTTTGATTTTGTAGGTCTGCAATAATTTTCCTTTACTAATTGACTACTGTCCAGGAAGTCATCACAGAATAAGAAAAAATATGGATTATATCAAAAGTTACTTTATGGAGAAAATAAAAGAACATCAGGAATCATTGGATGTTGCCAATCCTCGAGACTTTATTGATTATTACCTGATTAAACTAAAGCAGGTAAAATTTTAACATACATTTATTTTATTGTTTGAGCATTTTGTGGTTTGCTGAGCACCAAAATGTTTATCAGAGATGGTTTACATCAGTTGTAAAATGAAAAGTAAAGATCCAGAAACTATTGCTGAGTTTCAAACTTCAGGCAGAATATCAGAAAGGCAAAGCAGCTGGGCACTAACTTTGTACCTCTACTTCAGGGTGAATGGGATGATCCTATCTCCATTAGGTGAAACAGCTTTATTCATCAACCAGTAAGAGAAACATATATTTTTTGGTTGTGAGCCTAAGCCTCACCCTCCCTGGGGAAATGAGGGGGTACTGGGAGGAGTTGGTGGGAAGGCATTGTAGGAGGGGTGGGAAAAGGAATTGGGATTGACATGTAAAGGAACCTTGTTTCTAATTTAAATTTTAAAATAAAAATGAATATTAAAAAAGATAAACATATATTCACAGCATGCAGAAAGGCATACCCCCATTATCTCCTTTTTCTGTCTAAATAAAAAGGAAGAATTTAATTTTAACATAGTAAAACTACATATGACAAAACTGTTATCAAGCAAGAATTATAATTCCAACATTTAGTCCACTAATATTTGGCAAAATTTAAGGAAAATATTCTATCATCTATCCTATCTTTTGTGAGTCTAAACTTTTACATGTAACATCTTTTTTTATTTTATTTTATTTTCCAGTTTAAATTTAGATAAGAAACAAGGTTGCTTCACAAGTCAGTTCCAGGTCCCTCTCCCTTTCCCTCCCCTCCTCCCGTGCCGTCTCCCCAACCCCCCTCCGTTATCCCCGCATTCCCCCAGGGAGGGTGAGGCCCTCCATGGGGGTGTGCATAGTCTGTCATTTCATACAGGGCAGGGCCTAGACCCTTCCCCAAGAGTTCAGGGTGAGAGTGCACCTCACATTGTTCTATGGGAGTCCAAAGTCCGTGTGTATACTTGGGATGGGTACTGATCAGCTGCCCAAGGCTCAATAGATTACCTAGGCCTCCTCACTGACACCCAGATTCAGGGGGTAACATCTTTTATCATAACTAAGGAAAACCATAATGGTAACTATCTGTCTTCAGCTCCATCAAAGACCCCAGAAGGATAATATTAAACTCTAGAATGAAGTGGTTTGGAGAGAACTATGCCCATATTCCCACACAGTGTTTATGAATGTTTGTCTTCATTTAAATGGAGTTGGTTATAAATGGTTAATGATCACAGTCAATCTCTTTCTAAAGAGAAAAGGAATATGTGTAGAAAGGAATACTTCGTATTGGTATGGATTTTGCATTATTGATAAAATTTTAAGGTCATTTTTGTTATCTGTTTCTACTCTTGTTTTGGGGTTTATACACCTTTTTAATGATGAAACATATACTTAAATACAGATTATAGATGGCCACTCAAATAGTTATGTTAGGTTTTCTGTATATAAAATGATATACTTCAAAAGGATAGGTATTCTTCAAAACCTTTCAAAGACCTACCGAATATGGCATTTAAAATGGTTTATTAGGGTTTTTCACAACAATGAGACACAAGTGCTCCTGTCACAACACTTTGCTGCAAAGAAAGGATGTAGTACTGCCTTCTTGCATTTGCATAAAATCTTGACAATTCATCTAAATTCATGTTGTTTCAGTACTTCGTCATTCTTTGTAGCAAAATTATTTTTCACAATTTAATAGCACAATAAACTTACTCGTCATAGATGGTCATTTGTGTTATTTCTACCTGTGGCTCCTCATATGTATGGACATGTTTCTTCATAGCTTATTTTCACTTCCTCTGTCTATATCCCCAGGACTTGCATTTCTGATTCAAGTGATAATACATATCTCTCTTGACCAGCTGCAAACTATTCATATTAATATACTATTCTGTATCTATGAGATCCCAATAGCTGCCAAATGTTGTAATTTTGAAACTTTATTATTAACATCAACTCAGTGAGTGTGAAGTGAAACCTCAGGGCAGATTTGATGGGTATTTTTTAAAATAAACAGTGAAAATGGACATATTTTTAGGTGCTGTTTTGCCTTTCTGTGTCTACAGAAAATTTATATACAAATATTTTTCCAGTGGATTGCTTGCTCTGTGGAGCTATAGAATTGTGTGTATATCTAGATACTAATCTTTCCATATAAATGACATTGAAGCATATTTACATCCTGTATGTTGTCCTTTCTCCATTCTTATTTATGCCCTGAATGTATTATCTTCTGTCATGGATGAAGTCTGGTTTATATGTGTTTTTGTACCTTTTTTCTGAAATCTATGAGTACAAATAATAAGGAACGAGGCTTATCCCTATTTCACTCTGGTATCATGCTTCTCTTCACGTAGTTACATTGCCGTTCTGTCTTAACTTGCTTAACACCCTTCCTTTACATAGAACAATATTGGAACTCAGTTTTAAAAATCTTGGACATCGATGTTTGGATTAACTCCTGGCTATCAAAGTTCTGTAACTCTTGAATAAGGTTTTTAAACAATTGTTTTATGTTTGATGCATCTGTTTTATTTATTTTGTAATATGTTGTTTCGAGAATCTCATATGATGCAATTTGAACACAACCCTCAACTTTCATTATTCTCCTCTCCATCCTCTCATCTTTTCCCATCAACCATTGTGATTTTTTTCCATATCTTTACCCATTGAGTTCAGTTTCTGCTCCTCACCTAACCTCAGGCCTGATACATGATCAACCTACCAGGAGTCACATAATTGAAGTAAATTGACTCTTCCCTTCCCCGAAAATAATCTGCTAGTGGATTTCATATTTCCTCTCCCCACTTTGTGCTGGGTTTTTATTGGTGAAGCCTACACAGTTTTTGTGCAGGCTGACACAGTCACTTCAAGTTCTTATGTTCATGTGTCCTTTTGTGTCCAGAAAACACTTCTTCCTTGATGTTATTGGTCACTGATGGCTCTTAATATTTCTGCCCCATCTTCTACAAAGATACTTCAATCTTCTGGAGAGGAGTGTGTCATGATTTAGGATTGAGCAGGTCGCAATACTTTATTCTCTGTACATAGAGCAGTTGGGTGTCTCTGTATTAATTGCCGTCTTCTGTAAGGAGAAGTTTCTCTGATAAAAAAGTAAGAGAGTTGTCATCTATGGATATAGTAGTACATCATTAGGGAACATTTTACCTCTATGCTCCTTAGTCCATTGGAATAACAGGCTTGACCGCCAATTGTAACCCCTTTTAAACAGTGGCAGATATGTGCCTTACCTAAAAAAGTGGACCTTAGATCAGATCAGAAAGTTACTGTTTGCTCCCATGAGTTTGGTGTAACTATTGCACTAGTGGGCACTACTTATCAGCCAAGGCATTGTTGTAACTTGTAGGTTCACAGCTGGTGACTCTGAGAATTACTTTTCTCCCCTACTTACACACATATTACATTCCACCACCACAAATACTAGCCAATAAGGATGAAGTTTCTTGATGAGTAGCAGATTGATTTCATTGTTTTTTGTGGCTGAAATATGTAGTGTCAGCAAATAGGGTTTTTGTCAAGTTTTGGAGAGTAACCAAGAATATTGCCAATTACCTGTGATACTTAATGTTTTATGTGGCTCTATTGGCCAGTGACTCAAAAGGATGTAATGTTTTACTGGTCCTGGGGCATTTATCTCAAGGTTAGACCTACCACACATTCTTCTTCATATGGTTTTGCTAGGAGAAAATAAAAAAATGAATAAATGTTTCTTTTATGTTTTTAAGGCATACAAGTATAAAACTATATACACTTATGTGAGGATAATCACATCATTGCAAGAGTTAGGCTAGTTAAGGAATTTAGGGTGAAATTGAAGGTTATAAAAATCTGTGCCATCTTCTTTGAAATCATGTACTAATTTCTCCTCTACTCTACATTCCAAGATATTTGTTGGTGACACTATAAAACAAAAAAATTGTAGAAGACTTATTATAAAAAATTGTACATAAATAAAACATCATGTCAAATTAACTAGATCCAAAGTATATACAACTCAGTAAACTCCTTCTTTACAGGTAGAATAACTATTTGGCATGGAAGCTATGGAGTTTTACTTTTAATTTTACTCTTTCATTAACAAGTATACAAACTTGTGTAAAACTGTAGAGCCATTGTAATCAGATGTGTTTGCCAAATTATCACATCAAATTATTCTTAGGCAAACCACAATCAGCAATCAGAATTTTCACATGAAAATCTGGCGGCCACTGTGGGTGATCTGTTCGGTGCTGGCACAGAGACAACGAGCACAACGCTGAGGTATGCTCTCCTGCTCCTGCTGAAGCACCCACACGTCACAGGTAAGGACCCACAGTGCTCCTGTATGATGATGGAAAGACTCTTCTAGTATCATGTGCGTTGTTATTCTTAGAGAAGTCTCAGTCCTTGACCTTCTGTGCCAGTTGATGGCTGTAATGACTGAGAGAAACAAACTCTGTCTGTCTGAAAAGCAGTCATGTTATGCTTAGTGTTTGAGTTCTCTAGAAGGTAAACAGCTACAGGTAAGGCCAGGGTACATTTTCCTGTGGATACATGTTTTTCTGCTCTAAAAAGTCATGTCGTTAAGAGGTTCAATGTCGCTGGATTATGTTGAAGTCTTTGATCCATTTGGATTTAACTTTGTGAATGGTGATAGGGATGGATTTATCTGCAATCTCTATATACCCACATTCAGTTATGCCAGCACCATTTATTGAAAAAGCTTTCTTTTTTTCCATTGTATAACTTTAGCTTTTTTGTCAAAAATCAGGTGTTTGTAGGTGGGTGGGTTAATGTCAGAGTTCTGAGACTGAATGAGATATTGTGCATTTTGAGAAGTATCCAAAATATTTGGATTCTTTAAAAGCATTTTCCATTGATGTAGAAAATGTAGATTAAGACAGTTTATCACTTCAGAAGTCCATTTACTTAATTTTTGTTGAACAATGATTCATTTCAACTGTACCAATAGTGTTTCCTTTTACATTGTACTTAAGAACAGCTCCTGTGTTTCAGCATATATGAAACACACCCTCCTTCCTGTATCCCATATATACTGCATGATAAAAGCACAAATATGAATCAAAATTTGTATTTTAGAATAGGAGGAGATAACAATAAGTAACCAAGAAATCTTCACCAAATTACTGAAACAACAGGATGAGGAATGAGAAAAATAGAACAGGAAATGTGATGTTGAATCATAAATGTTAGTTGTACATGCATACAGTAAGAGAAACAACCTGTGGATCTGTGTCTACAGACCCTTGAAGACTCTTCTTCCAAAGCAATGGAAGTTTAATAGACAACAATGTTGTATACAGGATGCTGGCCTTGTTGAAGTTCCCTCCCTATTCCCATTCAGCAGGTGACCCCTCTCCCCGATATAAATTATTATAAGAACTAAGTCAAAGAAGCCCTTTACCTGACACATTGATGATTGACAGGGAATGAGCAATGTATAGGGATGAAAGGGGAAGTCGGGAACATTTGAGTCCCAGAATTCTGCATGTCAGAGCCCTTTCTGTTTCTTATTCCATGAATGTGAGCAACAGGGTCTATCCTCCACATAAAAGGAATAAATCAGCCCTTCTTATTTTACCAACTTAATAGAAAGGAGTTTCCATGTATTAATCAGAATGGATTCAAAACTTTAACCAAAACCTGACAAATAGAATTTTAAGTCTGAATAGAAACATGAAACCTTTGAGGAACATACCTCAGGCACATGTAAACTGTTCTCATCAAGACTACACCAGAATTCTCCAAATCAGCTGGCTTCTTGTAAGTTTACAAAACCAAAGGTAGATAAGAACTCCAAGTTTGCCATAATTTTTATCCAATTTTCCATTTCATCAGAATACTTGTGAGAATGTTTTTTCATCCTAATATCTGAAGTAAAGTCACAGGAAGTCATGGAATCTAGGAATCTTAATGCCTATTGTGGGAAAGTGGGAGTATCAGAGAGGTTGCTGGGTACCAGGTCTGGGAAGCTCCCAATTCAGTATTTACCATGTGAGTGTTGTAGGGGTTTCACAAAAAAGTGAGAGATGAAAGAGAAACAATTTTTAGTATGATGTTCCTTTTAATTGAGTATATATTCCCAGGATATAAAATACATAGTTAAATTTCCAGTATAATTCTAACACAAGAAATGGAAAATTACAAAAAATGAAAATGTATCTGTTTATCAAAAAAACTGCTAATAATGGAAATAAACATAATTTTTATGATAATTAATAATATTTACATAATTACAATTACTCTTACAATAGATATTTTTACAACAAAGTAGCAAATTCCAATCTGCTGTTTTTCCCTTTTTCATTGAAAATGTGTTTTTCTTACATAATACCTTAAGACTATGTTTTCCCCTCCCTTTATTCATTGCTGTTCCTCCATATCTTTTCTCACATCCAGACACCCTTGTTTTCTGCCTCTCATTAGAAAACAATTAGACTTCTAAATAATAATAATAATATATAATTTTGATGGAGACATTCTATTTAGGGCTTAGTATTCCCAGGTCTCTCACTGTCTACATAATGTCAGGTTAAGTGTTTCTGTATCTGTTGCCATCAACTGCAAGACCAAGCTTCTCTAAAGATGGCTGGGAAAAACCGATCTATGAGCATAGCAGAATGTCACTGGGAGTCTTTCAATTGCTATGTTTTTGTTGTTATTGTTTTTTTTTTTACTTTTAGAAAAGAAGTATTTGGTTTTACCATAGGTTTCTGGGCTATCTAGTGTTCAATTATTGACCAACCAAGCATTTTCAGGAGTGGCTTTCATACCATGGGGTGGGCCTTAATTCAAATCAGTTCTTGGTTGGTTACTCTCACAAGTTTTGTGCCACCATTGCCCTAGCATATCTTGTATGCAAGACACCATTGTTGACCAAAGGGTTTGTGGCTGGGTTGGTGTGTATGCTCTCTTTTGATAGAATGCAGAGTGCATTCTTGTACTAAGATGCTGGAACATAGGGGTGAAGGTTCTATGTAGACATCCTATTAACTTCTCCATGTTCACAGTGTTGTGTAGGTGTTCCTCCAGGAATGGGGTTTTGCTGTCTCTTTGTTGTGAGCAACCCATTGTGCTGGCTACAGTCTTGATTGTTTGGACATTTCATGGAATGCTTTTGACCAACAATCAATCAGATGTAACCTAACCCTAGTACTAGAAGATTCGTTTGATGATAAGGGATGTTCAGTTAGGGCTATTCGATTTTTGTGATATCTTGTTTTTTTAATTCTTTCTATATTTTGGCTATTAGTCCTCTTTGGGATGTGCTGCTGGTTAAAATCTTTTCCGATTCTGCAGCCTGCAGTTTTGTCCTAATGATGATGTCTTTTCCATACAGAAACTTTTCAGTTTCACAAAGAACCAATATGTTATTTGTAATGAAGTGAGTTGAAAGTGGAAGGGTATATGTGTTTTGCATGTATTTGTTCATATACGTGATGTAGAAACAACTGAAGAATTCATATCCCATATCTAAAAGTCATAAATGTTGTACATTTGTGGGCATATAAGAAAAAGTCATTTTACAAATATGAGTATATTTCAGAAGTAGGTGAAAAGGTCGATCTTGTTCAATATGGGGTGTTTTGAGAGTTTAAGAGTTTTTTAAATGTAGACATGGAACATACACACGTATACACACACATGTTCTTAAACACATATACATTAGAATGTGACTATAAGAGAATATTGTATTTAGATAGAGATTTAGTATTTGACTTCTTATGTCCTTTACCACAGACCAAAGCTTGGACACTAGATTGTTTTAATTGATAGTTTTAAATACTTATACTTTGTAGCCATTATGGCTAGTAAATAGTAAGTATATGCTGATCTATCATAATATCTATATAGAAAGATAATGATATAAACCTGCAACACAGCATTTCTGTATAAATATATGTAAAAATGCTTTTAACCCTGAATGAGTATTTATAATTCCATGGAACACCTACATTATGCTGTGTATGGCCTGACACTTTGCCAAACATGTCATGTTTCTATTCCCTCTTTTCTCACTGTGATCAACCAGCTAAAGTCCAGCAAGAGATTGATCAAGTGGTTGGCAGACACCGCAACCCCTGCATGCAGGACAGGAGCCGCATGCCCTACACAGATGCCATGATTCATGAGGTCCAGAGATTCATAGACCTCGTCCCCACCAACCTGCCCCATGCTGTGTCCTGTGATATTAAATTCAGGGACTACTTCATTCCCAAGGTAAACTTGTCTCTTCTCTGCTGCATCTCTGTCCTCTTGATGTTCCCAGGTTCACAGTGTTGTTCCAGTCCTATGAGCCACCCAGAGCTGCTTGTGGTTTGTACTGCTCCATGATCAGAAGGGCAGCGCTACTACAGGTACAGAGATATCTGGTAATGATGCTTCCACATTTGCTCTCTCTTCCAAACACTGTTGGGCAACGCTTAGGTATTTCCGTTTGAATGTTCAAACATTTGTCAAATTCACAAAACTCTTTTCTAGATTTTATCATTATGAGATTTTATCTTCAAACTGGAAAGAATCGATATCCCGAATTCTTCAACTCCTTAATGAGGCTACATCATTCAACCATTTATATGTGATGTGATTTATTTTCCATGTTTCTTTTCAATAATGTAGCCTGTAAATATCTTTTTAGAGATTTCCTGAATTATTAATGTCTGTTATTTTTAGTCTAGTGCCTCTTCTATTCTTTGCATCTGCTTAAAGAAGACATTTTATGGAATAATTTTGTTGGACTTATTTTTATCTGAAAATGAATTTTATTATTTCTAATGATGTATCTATAAACATATGTGTTATTTGAAGATGTTACATGGGCTAGTAGTTTTCAATGTACTTTTTGTATTCCTGTATTCCTAGTTTCTCTTTGGTGAGATGAATTTCAGGATAGTGATGAACAGGCCTGTTTACAGTAGGCATCACTGTAGTTAGAGTTTCCCGCCCTGACTTCCTGATCACAAATAACCAGCAGTCACTTCACAAACAAGTGATTTGGAGATATAATACTAATTGTAAATGCATGGCCAACATCTCAGACTTTCTACTACATAACTCTTACAATTAATTTAAACCACATTTTTTGCCATGTGGCTCATGGCTTGTTACATCATTTTTCTACATGCCCTGCTTCTTCAGTGGCTGGCATACATGTCCTCTGACTCTGCCCTGTTCTTTTCCCATCATTCTCCTAATTTGGTTGTTCCACCTATAATTTCTGCCTGGCTACTGGCCAAACAGCTTTTTATTCAATCACTCACAGTGGCAAATCTTCACCCTATTTGTTATTATTATTATCATTATTTCACAGCACATCATCTGTCATGTTTCTGCTAAGAATGACAATTGTAACTCTAATATCTCCATATCAAGTTTGATGTTTTAGGGACACACTGATAGTTGTGTAGATCAGATAAAAATTTTGGGTCTATTTACTTAAGGAAGTATGAGATATTTTATTCTGGATCCAATTATGTATGATCATGGCACAGGACCATAGATTTTTTTTACTTTGAGATAAATATTATTCTCAAAAGTTGTCTCTTTTTTAAATTGTTCTTTGAACCCATTTTATGTGTCTATGTATTGTTTCCTCTTTGAAGACAATATAAAACTTCTTATTGAGTACCAGATTTTACAGATAAGAAATCCAGAATTTTTATACGAAAATCTTCATTCAGAAATGATCAACTTCTTTCTCCTGGAGAGCCTTTTTTTTTTCGAGTGGGGTGGTGCAAAAAGATATTGATAAGTTTTCAGGTACTAACATCATGTAGAGATGATGGAACTAATTTTTCCATGTAGCATGGAGTTTTGCGTTGTGATAACAGATTTAGTATATGGGTTAAGTTACCAGAGTGCTCTGTTTTGCTAAAAGACACTCCCAAGGTAAGATCGTTAAGGGGTCTATGGCTAATATACAAAACTCATTTATGTTTATGTCATAAACAAAAAGGTAAGTAGAACAAAGGACAAGGTTAGAACAGTATATCTCCTCATAGCTTCCTAGGGTTTAAGGTCCAGTTTGAGGAGAGTGTTGCCTCAGCTGAACTTATATCCCATTTTCCCTCTGTGGCTGGATGATGTTATGACTGGTCTCTTTGTAATCTACTCAAGTAGAATATAACATTATTTTCTTTTATGAAACAACCTGGCTATTTCACAGCTGATTCTCCCATCTGACAAATAGGACAAGTGATTATTTAACAGAATTATTTTATCAGATTATTTTATCATCTCAGCAGATCTAATAGGATAAGAAAGAACCAGTAATCTTTGCCATAACTGTCTAGTAGATATCAGGCTTTCTAGTTCATAAAATCTTTGCTGTCCCTTTAGAGACATTGTCATTATATCAGAGAAGCAGTCACAGGCAATGTGTAAACAAATGGATATGAATATAATAATTCAAGTCCTATTGACATTAGAAGTTAATTTTCACATAATTTACATATGTCAATAATAGGCTTTTTAGTTTACAAAATATAACCATATTTGGTTTATCCAATTCTGACTATCTGTGGCAACCCTGTGAAAGCTTTTAATCCATGTACCTAGAAACTTTGATATAATATGAGGTTAGTTTGTGTGCTAGTTGAAGAGAGCTTGCCAGATCTATCTCCCAACAATTTCTGGGTATCTTCAGAAGTTGTATTGATTTAACTCTCATCAGATCATGACATTATAACTTACCAATAATCTTATTTGGATTTTATTTCATTTTCTCCCTCTCCTCCCCATTCCATTACTTCCTTTCTTTTTCCCAGTCTTCATCCGGTTTTTCTGACACATATACATATATACATTTCTGTGTTTGTGTCTGTGCATTCATATAGATGGATTGCATATATGACTACTCTGATACATAGCCCTACATTTATTTTCTTATTATATATGTATATATATATTGTAAATAAGAAGAAAGTGGTATTATTCTTCCCAAATTTTTCCTATTGTTCTTAATGAATGGTCTCCTATTCTGTCAACACAGTCAATGAACTATTTCATCTGGAACCTGATTGGTATGTGTGGTGTGTAGACAGATATGATGAGCTATAGCGAACAGTGGTTAGAGAAGATTGAGTCTAATCTGAAGGAAAGGAAGAGACTCGGGAGTTTTAGTCCAAGTACTCATGTGAAATGTCACTGAAGGCACTTTAGTCATGCCACTGTGCCTGGCCTCAAACTCCTCCCTCCTAATGTGCCCTGTGTGTTTAAACTTCTGTACTGTTCTTTAAACATTACACCCACTATGGAGCTGAAGGTGAATGAGGTTATTTTCCTAATATGTTTTAGCTTTATGATTTTTTTGTAACTTGATTTCTGTCTGTGTGTTGTTATAGGGAACAACGATATTAACATCACTGTCATCAGTGCTGCATGACAGCAAGGAATTCCCCAACCCAGAGGTATTTGACCCAGGCCATTTTCTAGATAAAAATGGAAACTTTAAGAAAAGTGACTACTTCATGCCTTTTTCAACAGGTAAGAGAAATTCATTTCCATGGACCAGCATCACGAGAATCTAGGCAGTAGATTTCAATGATCAGGGGTACCAGTTTCAGTGTTCAAGCACTGTCATGAAAAAGAGATTTCTTCCCTGTCGCTATATGAAAGTGAGACTTTGATTGCTCATCCATTGTTCAAAATTGAGAAAGCTAGAGTGTACACTATTTGTTTGCTTCCTTTAGCTACATCACAGAAATACCAAAGGAAACAAACTTCATTTACACTTTTCTCACTCACCATGACAATGGAGACATCACAATTTATATTAATGTCTTTTTTGCTGTGTCAATCATCTCCTTTACTATGTAATCACAAGTCTCCAAAATACAGACAATTCATGAAATCCTCAAGTGCCCTTGGTAAACACCTGAATGAACAATACTTATCAAATACCAGTTGGACTAGGGCAATGAGAGAGTCTCCCAGATCTCTGGGTTATTAGGGGTAAATCAGCACATTAATCTCTCAAACCTTATGTATTCATTAATGGCAAACATGGAGCAAGATTCTAATACATGACTTCTTTGCTGCCTCACAATGCATGGGTAATGGAGAAGTATAAAAAGAAATCATATGTAACTATAAAAAGGTCATGAACCATTAGAATAGAGCATTTTTCACAGTTCAGAATGCCAGAAGCTTTGAGATCCTCATGAGAAGATGGAGACATTGTCCTTGTGGCAGGACACTCTGCCCAGATGATTGAGAACCCTCTTCCTTCTCATTCAGGGTTAGAGTCATTGACAATGATTCAGAATCTTCAGTGTGCATGCTGCCTTTGTACGTGCAGCTTCTGTCCATGGCAGTGTTATTTTTGATAATGAACACGGAATTCCTCTTCCTCAGTCTCCCGGGGAGTCTGATTACAGATGTCAACAAACCACACCTAATTAAAAAGTATTTTTGAGCAATGTAATTCTTAATAGTGTAGGTTAATTGAGCAACAAATTTGTTCCACATTTTTCTAATTATCTGTCTTTTCATTTAGCCATCCTTCTACCAACCCATCCAATAACTTATGATCAATTCATAGCCTCTTGTGTCAGTTAAAACCATTGTGATTCTCACATTTACAAATGAGAATAATAATATTTTTTCATTTTTCCCCCCTAGGAAAACGGATGTGTGCAGGAGAGGGCCTGGCACGCATGGAGCTGTTTCTATTCCTGACTACCATTTTACAGAACTTTAAGCTGAAGTCTCTGGTTCACCCTAAGGACATTGATACAACCCCAGTGGTAAATGGATTAGCCTCACTGCCACCCTCCTATCAGCTCTGCTTCATTCCTATCTAAAGAAGATAAGACTTTCTGGCCCTGGCTGTGTTGTTTTCTCCAATCCCCTCTAGACCTTCAATCCATCAGAGACAAAGTGTCCTTCCCCCCCTCTCATGTATTCCCATTTAGTCAAGCCCCAAGAAACACCTGTCAATTATTTTGCAATATCTGGAATCACTGTATAAATGTATTTCTATTTGTTATTCTTTGCAACAGTGTTACTATTCCTTGTGTTAATATGTTTCTTTTCCTGAGAAAAACTACAAATTTCCAGTTATATTACTAATATAATAAGATAATTCATTTTCATTTTTCTTCCTCATGTTTTCAGTAATAAATGTATTTGATTTGTGAACTTTTTCTGAGACTAGCTTAGAATTCAGGTAAGAAATTAAAGAAAATGCAGTTCCCAACACATCATGCTGTTCCACATACTGTGAAGGATAGAAAATGCAAGGGTGAGTGCTAGAGAGATATTTCATCCACCTAAGTGCTTGCCACTCAAACTTGAAGACCTATATCTAAACTCTGGTATGTGTATAATGGCCAGCCATGGTGCTGTGTGCTTGTTACACCAACACTGGGGGGGACAAGAAATTCTTCAATATGGTTGAACCCCCAACCACACCTAATTAATGATCCCCTTTTACCTATCTCAAAAATGAACTTGTCATCTCTCAAGTAACAACATGCAATGATCACCTCTGATTTCCACATATATGTATGTACATATATATACATTCTCTCACATATATGTATCTGATTATGCAAACATATCCACATATCCACATATCCACACAGACATGCAAAACAGGGTTTAAAGAGTAAGGTACAAAACTCTTTGATTGAACATCACTTAGAATCACTGGAGTATTTGGTGCTTGTTTTTTATTAAACTTATTCATTTAATTTAGAAACAATTTTATTTTATATATCAATTCCAGTTCCCTCTCTCTCCCATCCTCCCATGCTACCTACCAACCCACCCATCTAATACCCACACACACTTTCCAAGAGGCTGCCGCCTTCCACGGGGGATCATCCAAGACTGTCACATCATTTGGTGCTGGACCTAAAACCTTCATGTATCTGGGCTGAGAGATTATTCCTCCTTGGGGAATGGGCTCCCAAAGTCCATTTGTACAGTAGTGATAAACACTGGTTCCACTGTAAGAGGTCCAATAGACTTCCCAGGCCTTTAACTGGCACCCACATTCAGAAGGCTTGGTTTGGTCCAATTCTGGTTCCCCAGCTTTACAACTGGGGTCCATGTACTCTCACTTAGTCAGTTCTGCTATTTCTGGGGGTTTCTTCAGTATGGTCTTGACCCATTTGCTCATCCCTCCTCCTTCTCTACAAATGGATTCCAGGAGGTTGGTGCAATATTGCTATGAACATAGTTGAACAGATGTCCTTGTTGTATGAATGTGCTTCCTTTGGGTATATGCTCAAAAACAGAATTGCTGCATCTTGAAGTAAACAGATTCCCATTTTCCTGATTTCTGAAGTAACCATTCAATTTTCCACTCCAACCAGCAGTGGAGGAGTGTTCCACTTTCTCCATATTCTCTCCATCATAGACTCTCATTGGTGGTTTTGATTTTAGCCATTCTGGTAGTATATTGTGGTATCTAAGAGTTGTTTTGTTGTGCATTTCCCTGGTGATTAATGATGTTGCTCAATTTTTTAGGTGTCTTTCAGCAATTTCAAGTTCCTCTTTCATGAAGTCACTGATTTCAGTAACTAGCTTCTTGAGTTCTTTGTATATTTTGGAAATTATTCCTCTGTCAGATGTGAGGTGGTTGAAGATACTTTCCCATTCTGTGTGCTGCTATTTTTCTTGTTGACTGAATTCTTTGCCTTACAAAAGCTTCTCAGTTTCAGGAAGTCCCATTTATTAATTGTCGATATCAGTGTCTTTGATATTGGAGTTATGTTCATGAAGTGATCTCTTGTATTAATTCATTCATGGGTACCTTTTACTAAGAGGTTCAGTGTGGCTGGATTTATGTTGAGGTCTTTGGTCCACTTAAACTTAGGTTTTGTGCATGGCAATAGATAAGGATCTATATGCAATCTTCAACATGTCAGCATCCATTTATGCCAGCACCATTTGTTGAAGATGCTTTCTTTTTTCTATTGTATAATTTTAGCTGATCTCAAATATCAGGTGTTTGTAGGTAGGTGTATGGATTAATTTCAGGGATTTCATCTTCATTTCAATGTTCTACTTCTATGTTTCTGTTTCAATATCAAGTTGTTTTCATTAATACAGCTCTAAAGTAGAACTTGAAGTCAGGGATGGTGATGTCTCCCAAAGTTCCTGTATTGAACAGGGTTATTTTGAATATCCTGGGTTTTTTTTCCATAAAATGTTGAATATTTTTCTTTCAAGTTCTGTGACTAATTGTACTGGGATTTTGAAGGCAGTTGCATTGAATCTGTAGATTACTTTTGGTAAGATCACCATTTTCACTATGTTGATTCTACCTATCCAAGAGCATGAAATATCTTTCCATTTTTCTGGCACCTTCTTTGATTTCTTTCTTTATAGACTCAATGGGTTTAATAGACATCTATAGAATATTCCATCCAAACACAAAAGAATATAACTTCTCATTACACAGTGCATCTTCTACAAAATCAACCACATACTCAGTAACAAAGCAAACCTCAACAGATTTTAAAACATTGGAATAACCTCCTGTATCTTCTTAGATCTCTATGGTGTAAAGCTAGAATTCAACACAAATTGCAGAAAGTCTAAAAACTCGTGGAAATTGAACAGTTCTCAGTTGCGTCACTCCTGGGTCTAGGAGGAAATTTAAAAAAAATTAAAGATGTCCTAAAAATCAATGAAAATTATGACACAACATACCCAAACATATGGGACACTATCAAAGCAGTACTAAGGGAAAAGTTCAGAGCACAGAGTACCCACATGAAGAAACTGGAGAATAGTCACACTAGAGACTTAACAGCAGACCAGAATGCTCTAGAACAAAAAGAAGTAAACTCACCCAGGAGAGTAGAAACCAGGAAATAATAAAATTGAAGGCTGAAATCAATAAAATAGAAACAACGGAAACAATACAAAGGATCAATGAAACGAAGAGTTCATTCTTTAAGAATATCAGATAGGCAAACCTTTATCCAAACTAGCCAAAAGACAGAGAGAGTACATGCAATTTAACAAAATCAGAAATGAAATGGTAGGGGAGAGGATATAACAACAGGCAGTGAGGAAATCTAGAGAATCATTAGGTAATTCTTTGAAAACCTATACTCCACAAATTGTAAAATTTATAGGTAATAGACAATTTTCAGGATAAATATCACTTACCAAAACTAAAATTCAAGAACATATAAGGCATTTAAAATAACCCCTAATGAAATAGAAACTAGTCATCAAAAGTCTCCCAATCAAAAAGCACAAGGTCAGATGGCTTCAGTGCTGAATTCTATCAGAAATTCAAAGAAGAGGTAATGCCAATACTCCTGAAAGTGTTCAACACAATAGAAACTGAAGGGTCACTGCCAAACTGTTTTTATAAGATTACAATTACCTTTGTACCCAAACCACCCCAAGACACACAGGAGAAAAAGAACTATATACCGATATCTCTCAAGAACATTGATGCAAAAATACTCAATAAAATACTGGCAAATAGAAACCAAAAACCCACCAGAAAAAATAACCCACCATGATCAAATAGGATTTTTCCCAAGGATGCAGGGATGGTTCAACATATGAAAATCCATCAATGCAATCCACCATATAAACAAACTGAAAAAGAAAAATATCATGATTATTTATCTCATTACATTCTTAAATAATCCTTAGACAAAATCCAACACTCCTTCATGATTAAGGTCTTGGAGAGTTCAGGGATAGCAAGAACATACCTAAACATAATAAAAAGCAATATACAGCCAACATCAGACTAAATGGAGAGAGACTCAACGTAATTCCTCTAAAATCAGGAACAAGACAAGGCTGTCCACTCTTTACCTATATTTTCAATATTGTACTTGATGTTCTAGCTACAGCAAATGAAGACAACAAATTGAGATCAAAGGGATGCTAAATTAGAAAGGAAGAAGCAAAACTTTCACTATTTGCAGATGATACGATGGTTTTCATAAGTGACCCCAATAATTTCTACCAGGGAACTTCTACAGTTGATAAATACTTTCAGCAAAGTGGCAGGATACAAAATTGACTAAAAAAATATCAGTATCACTCCTACATGTAGATGACAAACCATGTACAGAGGTACCTCCACCCTATAGAGGACAAGTAACAGGGATGAATCCACCTGTAGGCCCAGGCCATGCCCTCCTGTGATGTTATTGTCCATAAACGGTAAAAGCTAAGAGGTTAAAACCAGCTTGGAGAAACCTGCAGAAATAGCTGACTGAACACAGGGGATGTCATGGACCCCAGACTGATTACTGGGAAACCAGCATAAGACTTTTCCAGACCCCCTGAACTCGATGTCAGCTCGGAGATTTCGTTAAACTATGGGGCCGCTGGATCAGTATGTATCCCTAGTACATGAATGGACTTTGGAGGCCACTACAAATAGAGGGATTCTCTCTCAGCCTAGACACAAGGGGAAGGGTTAAAGCCCTGCTCCAAATGATATGACATATTTTGAACATCACCTATGGAAGGCCTCACCCTTCATGAGGAGCAGAAAGGGAATGGGATAGGGTGTTGGTGGTGGAGAGGGGAGGAGGGAGGTAGTGGGAACTGGGATAGACATGTAAAACAAGCTTGTTTCTAATTTAAATAAAGAAAAAGAAGGTGAAAATTTAAACATGCCTTTGTCTTGATGTTCTCAGGTTAGAATTAAACAAGCATTTTGCTTTCCTATTGCTAACCATATGCTGCATATGCCTCACTTCTCTTTCCAAAGTAAGTATGGTACTAGGAAGTGTCACATTGGTATAATTTCTAGATGCTACATTCCCTTCTCACTGTATTACAAATAATCTAATGAGAAATGACATTACTGACTATCCTTGTCTTAGTGTCAATGGAGCTAATTCGTCTGGTATTGCTAAGTTCTTACCTTGGGGCCTACTGCAGAGATACATCTCCACATGCTATTCAATGTATATATAGCTTGTTGTGTTACAAAATGTGGCTTTTTGTCTAAAGGGGCTAGAATACTAATATTTTATGTACAGTTATATATTTCTGGTAA